TTTTTTTTTTTTTTTCTGATATATTGAAACCTCATAATCTTATCTGCAAAATTATGCTTGATTCTCTTCTTATTTTTACATTTTTTTTTTTTTTAATTTAAAGAAAAATTTTATTTATTTTATTTAACTTTGTCTTCTTTCATTATCAATTTTTTTTATAGATTAGATACTACATATATACATATATTTATTTATTTGCAATGAATAATAATAGTATTGTGTGTTCTTTCTTTTTAAAGGTTTTATGGGGATTAGTCTCTAATATAAAAATGAAGACTTGGATAAATAATTCCTTTTTTTTTTTCATATATGTTATAAATAAATAATCACAAACAATTTTGCAATTACAATTTGTAATAATATTACAAGAATTAAAAAAAAAAAAAAATAAATAAATAAATAAATAAAAAATGTCTCGAACGAGATGAAAGTTTCGTTCTGAATGGTCAAACTTTTCTAAACAAATTTTAAGAGAATCAAGCATCAACATTAAAAAATATACAATAATTAATAATTAATAATAAAAAGTAGAGATTGATTATTTTTTTAGTAAATATATTAATAAGAAAAGAGAGAAAAGAAAAAGAAAAAAAAGAAAAAGAATATAAATTACATGTAATTTGAAAAGTAAGAAGGTGTGAGACGTATGACACGGTGCTCGGTGACACATATTTTGTGTGGTTGATGATCGCAGGTGGGCCGGCGTCGGCCGCTTCAGGGGGCTACGGGCCCACGGCGGGTACTGGCGGGGCTGCGGGGGGCGGGCCCGGGGGTTCTTGGAACTCCTGGAACATGCCACAGAATGGGCCCCCTCCTGGGACCCAGCCACCACCCCAGCCCCCTCAACCCAACTCCTCGCAGCCCAACTCCAACTCGAACCCCTCTGGCCCGCAGGGTGAGTCTTCAAGCTCAGTCAAACAAACTCTCTCCTCTTTCCACCCTTGGCATCAGCTGATTCCATTCTTACCTTAATTGAATCTTACTAAAATTGTATATGTAATTATCATTAAATTTGTGCCAATTCTATTATTATTATTATTATTATTATTATTATTATATATTTATATTTATATTTATATTTATCCTATAAACGTCCACATTTTTTATACCTTGTTTTTATTCACGTTCATTTTGAGTTTCATATTTTTATATATCTATATATTATATATATATATATATTTTTATTGTTGTTATTTTTAATAGAAACTAATTTGTTGCTTTTGTTTTTTTCTCTCTCTCTCTCTCCTGTAATTCTTCTGAATTATTTATAAGCTGTAAAATTGTCTCTCAATCTCATATATGTTGAGTATTTTAGTCAAATTTTCATAGATTTTGTTTACATCCCCATTTGATATATACATGTTTATTTATTCAATTATATGTGGTTTTTTTTCTTTTTTTTTTTTTTTTTTTTTTTTTTTTTTTCAATGTAGTAGTAGGTCATAAATTCATTCATTATTATTACCAATATAATTTTTATGTAAAGTATGACTTTAAAGTAAAAAAAAAAACGAAAGTAGTTAACTAATTTTCAGTATCATATTTGTATCATTTATTAGACAAAAATTTGATTAACAAATGTTATCCAAACTTTTTCAAAAAAAAAAAAAAAAATAAATTCCTTACGCTATTATATTCCCCCTTTGCTATCTATGTAAATTAAGTTTAATATATTTTTTTTTAATTATTATTTTTAAGTTGTCACTAGTAGAAGCATGTATCCTGCAAGAACAAAACAAAACAAAAATTAATAATTATATATGAAATTGAAAAGAAGTTAATAACTTGAATAAAAATAATAAAAAAAAATATAAATCTGCTTAATTATTATAAATATTCAATTTTTTTTTTTTTATAGTAGCCTATATATATGTATATGTATATATATATACTTATATAAATAGTTATTGTTATAGTGTAATGTTGATAAAGAACAAAACATATAAACTTTGTTTAAAAGCTGTAGTTGTAGAGAATAGGCATACACTGTGGGCTTATTATTTAAACAATTTTAAAATGCTCTTCAATTATTATTAAATCATCATTTATTTATTTTTTATTTATTTTTTTTTTTTTTAATAAAAATACAATTTTGTTGTTCTTATATTATTAACCAGTTAAGTGTGGTGGCGATGATTCTGTGCGTAGAGTGCGCTCTCTGGTGTGTGTCGCGATAATCAAACGATGCCGGATATAGTCGTCAAACACAGAGTTAGTGGCGCTGTTTAAAATATTGAATTGGTCCAAAAAAGACGACGATTTTATTTTAAAAAATGAACAATTTTCTTAATATTATGAACATATATTTATACCATAATAAACGGAAAAAATTGGAGAGAGATAAAACAAATTGAATATTTACAGAAGTTAACAAAATTTATTTTTGACTGTATTTTTGTTGTTGTTGTTGACCTGTAAACATTGGAAACATATTCAAATTTACGAATAGAATTTAATTTTCTTTACCAAAATACACAATTTCAATATCAAATTGTAACTAAAACTTTTATGCATGACGGATAATAGACGACGACGACGACGACGTCATACGTCATACTCCATGACGTATATACTCGTCAAACACGCTTAACTGGTTAAGTAGTATAAAATATAGTTTCATTTCTATAGTAAGAAATAGTTGTTCGTGTTAAAAGTCCTATTGTAATGCAGGACAGTATATTTATTTATTTATTTTTTTTTTATAGAAATTATTGAAAAATAAAAAAATAATGATAATAATTGTAATTATATGAAATATTATATGCATGCACAAAAAAATAGGGCAGGTATTTACTTGAAATATATCTTTGATTTTAGTTTTCTGTGTCTTATATTTATGTGTAAACATTTTATATAATCTATATATATATATATATACATATATATATCTATCTATCTAATTAGATAATTAAGAAAGCGATGTTAAATATAAAAAGATAATTAATATAATATATATATATATTGTTATTAACACTAGATCTACCAGAGCAGTTAGTTTGACTGGTCGATGGGTGGGGGTGGGGGAGGCCATTTTAATTCAAAATGTCTACTTTCACATGTAACACATTTGATTTCTGTAAATAATATCAATTCCATTTATCTATTAAAATAATTATTGTTAAATATTTGTTGTTATTTTGGTAAGAGTAATAAATAAAGAACTGGAAGGCTTCAAAAAGCATATTTTTGTTGTAAACACCAGTCATTTTGACTAGTGTGGTAGAAATAAGTATTATTAGGTGGTTTGGAAAGTCATTTCGTGTTTCTTTTGTAAAAATAAAGATTAATTTTGTTTCGTGGTTAAACCTTAAACCTTAAACCTTTCAAGTGATCATAAATAGTTGAATTTGATCAATTTAACTTCTCATTGATCTCATGTGTTACCATTTGTCAGTTTGCATCAACTACAAATGAAGAAATACATATTGAAAATGGCGGTTGTGTAATCTAGTGTTAAAGAAAAAAAAACAAATGAATAGGTTGTTGTTTTATTTGACATGGCTTTCAATGATAGAAATAGAAATAGTAAAATAGATAGAATAAATTAGATAAAGTAACAAGAGGATATTAATAATGGTATAATTTGATATGATACACGGATGTTTCAGGGGATATGTACTCAAGACAAACAACCGGCTCAGGTGCACCTGGAACTAGTAGCAGTTCGGCTAAAACATCGGATTACAGTGGCTATTCTGCATACGGTAATTATGCTGATACCACTTATCCTCAGCAACGTTCGTATACGGGAGGAGAAAGCAACCAAGGTGGGTATGCCGCCAGCGCCCCTAAACCTGGCCACCAAGTCTTAGAATTCAAAGAGTGGCCCACCTCATGACCGTTTTAATTCAACCGTGACGGAGAAATGCGCTGAATGGCTTGGCCTTGCTCTCGTGGGTTATTTCTTATTTCATATTTGAAGAAAAACAGTATCTGTGTTGTTGTATTGGTTTAAAAAATCATCATATAACTTATATATATATATATATATCTATATATATATAATACTGCGAGACATTCATTTTCTTTGTGTGCTGTAATATCGAATTTTTTCTCATAT